CGTTCTTCGTGTTGGTTCTTGTACGTCACCGGTGTCAGCGTCTTGGACTCCGTATTGGTAAGAGTATTGTGGGTGGGTGTCTGGGTATACTTCTTGGTGGACAGACTTGACAATTGGGGCGGCGTAGTGAGCTACTGGGCGACAGTCTTGACAACAGCTGGGCGTGGTGGTAAGCAGCTACTGGGGCGACAGTCTTGACAACAGCTGGGACGTGGTGGTAAGCAGCAACTGGGGCAGCGTAGTGAGCAGCAACTGGGGCGGCATAGTGAGCTACTGGGGCGACGGTCTTAACTACGGCTGGGGCATGGTGGTAAGCGGCAACTGGGGCGGCGTAGTGAGCAGCAACTGGGGCAGAAGCGTAGTGAGTTACTGGAGCATCACTGAGTGATGAGTAGGAAGTGGCATGATGACCATGTCCAAGTTCGAAAACTCCAGCTTGAGCGCAAGCTACCAAAGCAGATACAACCAAAATCTAAAATAAAATCTTAATTAGGTGCTGAACTAATAATATTATAATTTGATCTAGTACCTTAGCGAACATGTTGTATATTTGTGATACAATTCGATACTGTTTGTTAAAAATACGCTCACTTTTATATGTATTCAATCCACTCCAAATTTGAGAAATATGTTACATAATATCACGCAAATTATAAATGCAGAAACTTGAAATAGTTTTAATTTTAATGTATTGTAAAACTTTGTTACAACTAATTTATTAATACAAATTTATATGGATTATTTAGTGTTTTAAAATATTTATAAAAATATAAGTAGAAGATTGTATATAATATTTAATTTAAATTTTCTACTTAAATTTAATTTATTGCTATTGAAATTAATCTGCTGTGCCTTAAGTAATGGCGTACATCCAACTAACAGCATATAATCTACAATAATTTAAAAATTATATCCACCACATAAACAGTAGTTGGAACCTGCATCCACTGAAAACAGAATAAGCCAGACAAACGAATACTTCGAAGAACAGGATTTTTCCAATTTAAAAAAGGAGACAATAATTTACATATTGAATTAAAAATTTAAACTGTTATTTCAAATACGAAGCTACTTGCTTTGTGAAATATTTTCGTATATAATTTAATAAATCCAGTTTTCCATATTTAAAGTCAATTTATATGAAAATCTAAAATATACGATGATAAATATACGATTATTGGAAGAAATGATTTTATGAAAATCATAATATTTTGTTTTAGGCTCAATTTCTCTTGCTTTTCCCTGAGAGGAAAAGACATTTTATAAGTAGATTAGAAACCTAGACCTTCTGAAATTATTAAAATATGATAATGCAGTTTTCAGGAACCTCAAGTTTTATAAAATTGTATTGTGATGCGAACATTAATATGTTGGGATTATAGACAATTTTATTTGTTAGTAACTTTGGCATTACAAATATAGAATGTATTGCATATTTTACTACATCAAGCGTATTTATAATTAAAAGAAATTGAATGATCACACTAATACAATACATATATATTCCACCCATTGTAGACGTTATAAATGTAGAATAATAATAAATATATATTTTGTCAACTGATAAAATGTATTGATATTTTCGACCAAATGCCTATTGATCTATCGAAGCTTTAACTATTTATGTTAGATCACTATGATCAATAAATTATATTGGGTAAACATATATTGGAGCTAAACAATAATCAGCTATTACAGAATTACTGGAGTAACAAGTCCTAAAAAGTATTCATATCATCGTATTGTTATTAAGTACACGCGATACTTATTAAATATAACAATTAAATAGTCAAAAATTACGAATGCATTATATAATTTTCGTAGGATTTACCGATCAAATTTTAGCACAAATAATAAATTACATTTCAAAACTAATATCCATCACTTCGTTATTTTATAGAAAACAAATAATTAACTATATTATGTAAATAATCTATACAAATGT